TCAGCTAAAAGAACAAAGGCAGTCAAGATGTGATTTCTATAAGTCAAGCTATCTAACTTGTTTAAGGCACCAAAGCTCACTAACACTTGAATCTTTGATTATTTTTAGGTGTTGAGCCTTTGGTTATTTTTTGCTATCAGAAAGAAATAATACGTCACGTATAGCATCTATATTACTAGGTAACTTCATTTCATGGGAAAAGCCATGAGATAGGGTATCAGATAAACCTTGATTTTTGTCCTCGCTTTGCAACTTACTATCTGTGAAATGTTGAACAGTTCATTTAAATTATCCAACCTCAGTTTTCTCACCTGAAAAATGGGTATTGAAAAATAGCTCCCCACATCTAAGCCAAACTACACGTAGAGTCATTTACTTGACAAGGAGGGAGACGCCTGATGTGACATGATTATGACAAAGACATGACGATTCAGTGATCATACCTCAAACTTAACTTAATCTAGAACAGATACTATGATTTTCCATATCCCCAACTCTACTCTTTTCCTAGACTTTCCCATTCCACTAAATCAGGAGTGTCCAACCTTTTTTATCCTCTGTTGCAAATTAGAGGAGTTAAGAGTTGTCTTGGCCCACATATTAAATACATAAACACTAATGACAGCTGATGAGCTAAACAGAAGGTCCATGCATATTTTTCATAATAGCCGACATCACTGATAAGCAAAACGGTCCTGAAAAAATTAGTCTGGAGCCACAGGTCAGACTCTCTGGCACTAAACAATCAAGCTCAGGAATAAAACTTCAGTTTCTTTGGCTTGCCATCTTCAGTACTTAATTTATCAGCCATTCTGTCAGCTCTAGCTCCAAAACATACCCTTGACTACCTCAGGTCTAAGCTGTCCCCGATTCTGCAATAGCTTTCACCCTGCTTCTGCTTCTACTCTCACTTCAGGGCAGCATTCACAGAACAGACAGAGGGATCTTTCAAAACAGGAAACTGGATCCTCTCACTCATTATAATAGCTTCTCACTCCAAGTATAATATAATTTAAACTCTGTACTGTGGCCTGCAAGGTCCTACACAATCTGACCCCTGCCTACTTCTCTGAACTCACTTATTTTGTATTCTTTTCCCCTTCATTTTCTAGAATGTAGACCTGTGCCATCCAATAAGAGCTATGAGTCACAGGCGGCTATTTAAATTCAAATTAAATTAAAATTCAATTCCTGCCCTGGCACAGTGGCTCGCTCCTGTAACACTAGCACTCTGGGAGACTGAGGCAGGTGGATTGCTTGAGTTTAGGAGTTCGAGACCAGCCTGAGCAAAAGTGAGATCCCATCTCTAAAAAATAGCTGGGCGTTGTGGGGGGGCGCCTGTAGTCCCATCTACTGGGGAGGCTGAGGCAAGAGAATTGCTTGAGCCCAAGAGTTTAAAGTTGCTATGAGCTATGACACCATAGTACTCTACCGAGGGTGACAAAGTGAAACTCTGTCTCCAAAAAAAAAAAAAATTCAATTCCTCAGTTACATAGCCAAATTTTAAGTTCTTTTTTCTCTTTGGGACTCTGAAAACACATTTCAAGTTCTTAATGGACACACAGAGCTACTGGCTACTAAACTGGATATCGCGCAATGAAAGATTCCAATTAGCACAGAAAGTTCTATGGGATAGCACTGATCTAGGCACACGGCAAGCTCGTTCCTACTGTCAGGAATTTGTACTTGCTACTTCTTCTGGAATGATCCTACCCCAGATTTTGACATAGCTGGTTCCTTCTCATAATACAAGTCTCAGTTTAAATGCAGGTCCTCAGAAAAATCTTCTAAATTTAGATGGGACTACCCAATCTGAAATAGCTCCTCAAACTCCTCCATCCCCAGACACTCTATATCCCATTACCTTGTTTTATTTTCTTCACAGTACTCACCACTATCTAAAATTATGTTGGCCAGGCAGCGTGGCTCATGCCTGTAATCCTAGCACTCTATAAGGCCAAGGTGAGTACATTGCTTGAGCTCAGGAGTTCAGGACAGCCTGAGTAAGAGCGAGACTCTGTCTCCTAAAACTAGGAAAATCACCTGGGTATTGTGGCACAAGCCTGTAGTCCCCGCTACTTGGGAGGCTGATGCAAGAGGATTTTGAGCAATCCTCCTGTGAGTTATGATGCCATGGCACTCTTCAGAGTGACAGAGTGAGACTCTGCCTCAAAACATATAAATAAGTAAATAAAATTATGTTGTTTCATTCTTTTCTGTTTCAACCTATAGAATGTAAGCTCCCTAAGAGGGCAGAGACCATGTTATTGTATTCACTGCTATACCTCCAGTGACAACACCTGGCCTATAGAAGTATAAAATAAATTATTGAGCAAAGTAATAAATAAGTATCCAAAAGGGCATAGGTTTTAGAGTAAAACCAACCTGAATTCCAATCCTAGTATTTCCATTTACCAGCTGTCATATATTAAGTTATTTAATCCTTGAGCCTAATTCATAGTGTTTTCATAAAGATTAAGTAAGACAAAGCACGCACTGTGCCTTGTACTGTTCCTAGAACAAAAGTCCTACTGCTTAGGTGACCTCTTCCCTAGCTGACCCATTCTTGATTCCTCTAAACTATGTTGGGTGTTTCTGATATATGTTCCCATAACACCCTGTTTCTTCTACAGTGATGAGTATTATCCTCCATCAGGTTAAGAATTCAATGAAGGCTAGGGCTCTCTTTATATGTCCTGCACCTAGCACATTACCCGGCAAAGAGATGACTAAACTATGAAACAGATAGGAACACTGCAAGAAGAATCTTCTTACATTCTATTGCAAATTTTCCTCAGATCATGGAAAGAAATACTTGCTCAATTAGTAGAGGATTTCCAAATAGTGCATCTGGCTGCTGTATGATAATCTACATACCTCAGGCCAGGCACAGTGGCTCACTCTGGGAGGCCAAGGCAGGTGGATTGTCCTGAGCTCACAGGTTTGAGACCAGCCTGAGCCAGAGTGAAAACCCGTCTCTAAAAATAGCTGGGCACTGTGGCAGGCACCTACAATCCCAGCTACTTAGGAGGCTGAGACAGGAGAATCACTTGAGCCCAAGAGTTGGAGGTTGCTGTGAGCTATGACGCCACAGCACTCTACCAAGGGTGACAAAGTAAGACTCTGTCTCAAAAAATAAAATAAAATAAAAAAAAAATAGTTTATGAGATGGTCTGCATAAATCAACAAAGCAGAATACAACGACATGGTTCTGGATGATACAAAACAAAATAATAATGCTCTGGCATGAATTACATTTGTTAATGATAGCTAACATTTTGGAGGAACTTATTAAGTGCCAGCCATTATGCTAAGTACCATAAATATATTTTATTTATTACTCATGAAAACTCTTTAAGGTTTCTATGTTATCATCATCCCAGTTTTATGAATGAGAAAACTGAGGCACAGAGAAATTAAGTAACTTGTCTAAGAACATAGCTCATTAATGGTGGAGTCCATATTGGAACCAAGTCTATATGATTCGAGAACTCAAACCTTTATATTATACTTATACATAACAACATGTACATTGCTTTTATTGTAGAGAACATAAGGTTGTGTATTGGTAAGTCCTAATAAATATAATCAGTAATAGTCTCTTTTGGTTACTGCTGTCTGAATATTTATTTAATAGACAACCCTTTTAGTGGCATACTGAACTCAAATGTGGGTTATGACTCATTGCAGTAATGGTCTGAAATGCTTGAAACTAAATTTAGAACTGAAGATCTAGCCACATAAATTAGATAGATCTTCTGTCTGTATACACAATCATGAAATGTTTATTTCTTCCTTATTTTATTAAAAAATTTGGAGACTCCAATGATGGGATGGATTTTTCTATCTATAATTGCCATAGCATGGTGAAACACACGTGTATTCCCAGATACTTGAGAGGCTGAGGTGGAAGGAGTGCTTGAGCCTAAGAGTTTGAGGTTACAGTAACCTATGATGGTGCCACTGCAACTCTACGCTGGGTGACAGAGGAAGACCCTGTCTCTGATCAATAATTGTCATGTGACAAATTGATCTAAACTTGTTTTTAAATGATTATTGTAGTAAGACAGACCCTTTTCCTCTTTCCTACTAGAAAAAATAGCTTTTTAAAAACGCCACACATTGGCTCGGCACCTGTGGCTCAAGTGGCTAAGGCGCCAGCCACATACACCTAAGGTGGCAGGTTTGAATCCAGCCCGGGCCTGCCAAACAATGATGGCTGCAACCAAAAAATAGCCAGGTGTTGTGGCGGGCGCCTATAGTCCCAGCTACTTGGGAGGCGGAGGCAGGAGACTCGCTTAAGCCTGGGAGTTGGAGATTGCTGTGAGCTGTGATGCCATAGCACTCTACCCAGGGGGACAGCTTGAGGCTCTGTCTCAAAAAAAAAAAAAAAAGCCACACATTATATTAGGTTTTCACTCTGTGATAAAGATTTTGATAGATTTAGATTTATAATTCTAATTCTAGCATGTTTGATCTACCACTATCTAGCAGTGGAACCCTGATCTAGTCATTACTCTCTTAGAATCTCTATTCTCCTTTTCTTAAGATGACTCTACTAAATTAGATAAGTAGCCCATGCATAGTGGTTCAGCCTTAATCCTAGCACTATCTAGGATTAGCCAAGGCCAGAGGATCACTTGGGCTCAGGACTTTGAGACCAACCTGAGCAAGAATGACATCCCGTCTCTACTAGAAATAGAAAAAAATAGCCACACATTGGGGTGGGTGTATGTAGTCCCAGCTACTTTGGAGGCTGAGGCAGGAGTATCGCTTGAATCTAACCTTAAAGGTGCTATGGGCTAGGCTTTGGCCATGGCACTCTAGCCTGAGAAACAGTGAGACTGTCTCAAACAAAAAGAAAAAAGAAAATTTGTAAGATTCATTTTATTGTACCACTGCTTTTCTTCAATTTTGTTTTTTTAACTGACAATGTACTGCCTTTATCTTCCCCAATGAATTATGATCACAAGAATTGAATATTAATATTCAATACAAACCTCCATCAAGGCTCCGAGATGCCCTTTTGCTTGCTGTACGCTCAAAGTGTGGGGCAGGCCTGTCAATGAGAGCACTAGCTTGTCTAGTCTGAGCTTGGGTCCGGCCACTGTATCGAAATTTGGATCCCAGAGCAAGAAATTTGCTTTTGGGAATGGTGTCTGTAGATGTCAGTCTGGAAAAAGAAAATCATAATTATCATTATTCTAAGACTATAAGATTAAAGACAAAATCAATAATAAAAAATCATTCACAATTCTCACAGTTTCCTCATGGTTACTAAGAAGTTTCCAATCAAGCAATTATTGTTTTAGTTCTATGTCATTTCTTGAAGCAACTGGTATAACATAGTTGGAACCTAGATTGATAACACATATATCATCTTATATCTCTATAAATAGGTTCTTATACTTTTCAAAATGCTTTTATAGCACAATAGTATGTTCTCTATATCCTTGTAATGTTTTCATAATTTTATAGTATACATTAAAAAAGAAGTTAAAGGCCGGGTGCAGTGGCCCACTTTAGGAGGCTGAGGCGGGAGAATTGCCTGAGCTCACAGGTTCAAGACCAGCCTGCGCCAGAGCGAAACCCCATCTCTAAAAATAGCTGGGTGTTGTGGCAGGTGCCTGTAGTCCCAGCTACTCAGGAGGCTGAGGCAAGAGAATAGCTTGAGCCCAAGAGTTTGAGGGTTGCTGTGAGCTGTGATGCCACAGAACTCTACCAAGGGTGACAAAGTGAGATTCTGTCTCAAAAAAAAGAAAAAAATAGAAAGAAAAATAGATAAATAAAAAATAAATAAATAAAATAAAAAAGAAGTTAATTGCTTAAGGACCCACAGCTGTTGAGAGATTGGGCGGTAAAAAAGTTCCAACCCAGAGCTCTTCTTCCACTCTACTAAAATGCCTGTTTTGTCAAATGCATTCAAATTCAATTAATACCTGGTAACCTATTTCGTTTCTTGGCATATTTTCAACTCAATTAGGAACCCCATCTTCTTCTATGAAGTACCCTTTGCACTCTTTTGTCATGGCATTTGCTACAATTTAAAACTAACTATGTGCTGGTCTCCCACACAAATGTTTACAGACCAGGACTTACTCATCTTTGTGTTTTTGTTTCTGGCATTTGGTTCTGCCAGTGCCTGGCATGAATTTAGCTCCCAATAAATATTTGTTGAATAAATACATAAGTTGCTATATCAAATACTATCAAAAAGAGAGTATTTTTCCTTTGTGATAGTTAATTTTAATTCCCCAAACATACTTTCTCTCATGCAATAAAGCATTACCTTTTAATCTATCAATGGATTTACATATGCTATCCTACAAATAAATACATTGGCTGGAGCTGAAAAATATACTACAGATATTAAAAATTCAAAATCAATTTTTTATTCTTCCTTCTCCTCTTAAAAAACTCTATTTTCTTGACTTGATTTTAAAGAAGATGATGAAAACAGAAAGAAACGTGTTAATGCCAATAGTCAAGATTTCTAATTGGGGGTAAAGTGTACCCTTACGTTTTATTTTAAAATTGGAACTGAAATATTATTTTTCTTGATTTTTCTTCCTGTCCACTGTGTTCTAGCACCAAGTATGATAATGAAAATATAAATAGAAGGAAAACATCAGAGTTCTCTCTCTCTCTCTCTCTTGGTCAATAGCTATTTATAAAGAACTAAGTTGACTTATAAATGAAAATGACATGAGGCCTAGGATTTGCTTCAAAAATAATCCAGCAAGTATCAAGAAGGAGTAGGTGAGGATATAGATAAAAGGAGATTGGCCTTGGGGTGGTAATTATTGAAGCTGAGTGTCGAGGGCAAATGAACTTCATTATACTGTTGCTATGTATGAAGTTTTCCAGAATAAAGAAATTTTCTTGAGCCAGATATGGTGGCTCACACCTGTAATCCCAGCTACTTGGGAAACTGAAGTAGGAGGATCACTTGAGGCCAGAAGTTCAAGACCAGCATGGGCAACATAGCAAGATTCTGTTTCTACCAAAAAAAAAAAAGAAGAAAAGAAAAGAAAAAAATTGGCTAGGTGATTCAGCTACTTGGGAGGTTAAGGCAGGAGGATTGCTTGAGACTGTGAGTTTGAGGATGCAGTTAACTATGATCATGCCTTTGTATTCCAGACTGGGGGACAGAACTAGATGTCATATCTTAAAACAATAAAAACAGGTTGGTGCCTGTAGGGTAGGATGCCAGCCCCACATACCGAGGGTGGCAGATTCAAACTCGGCCCCAGCCAAACTGCAACAAAAAAAATAGCTGGGCGTTATGCCTGTAGTCCCAAATACCCAGGAGGCTGAGGCAAGAGAATCACCTAAGCCCATGAGTTGGAGGTTGCTGTGAGCTGTGTGATGCCACGGCACTCTACTGAGGGCAACAAAGTGAGACTCTGTCTCTACCAAAAAACAAAACAAACAAACAAAAAAAACAATAAAAACAAAAGAAATTTTCTTTTTTTTTTGAGACAAAGCCTCAAGCTGTCCCCCTGGGTAGAGTGCTGTGGCATCACAGCTAACAGCAACCTCCAACTCCTAGGCTCAAGCAAGTCTCCTGCCTCCGCCTCCCAAGTAGCTAGGACCACAGGCACCTGCCACAACGACTGGCTATTTTTTGGTTGCAGCCATCATTGTTGTTTGGCAGGCCCCAGGCTGGATTCGAACCCACCACCTTAAGGTGTATGTGGCTGGTGCCTTAGCCACTTGAGCCACAGGCGCCAAGCCAAGAAATTTTCTTCAAAAGGCAAACTGACAATGAATAGCTGGCTCTCCTTTCAAAACAAGTAATTACTTATCTTAAGTCTGTCTTCTCTGTAGATTTTATGTTTCAAGTTCTAAGACAGAGAACTAGCTTGTGGTATATTTCCAATGCTTACCACAATGCCTACATGAAAGGTAAGAATACTGAAAATGCTTGGTATAGGCTCATGTCTGTAATTCTAGCATGCTGGGAGGCCATGGCAGGAGGATCACTTGAGGTCAGGGTTTTAAGACCAACTTGAGCAAAAGAATGAGATCCTGTCTCTTCAAATAATAGAAAAATTAGCTGGGTGTGGTGGCATGTATCTGTAGCCTCAGCTACTTGGGAGGCTGAGGCAGGAGGATCACTTGAGCCCAGGAGTTTGAGGCTGCAGTGAGCAATGGTGGTGCCACTGCACTCTAGACTGAACAACAGAGTGGACCTTGTTTCAAAGGAAAAAAAGGCTTAGTAAATGAATTAAAGGGTTTAAAATGCGGCCCCTTGAGGTAGAGGAAATGATACTTTCTTATTTCTTCTGATTGTCTGGACAACTGGACTTCAAAGATAGTTTGTGCGTTCTCTTTCTGGAGTTGATAGAGCCAAGATAATAATCAGGTTCACATCTTTAACCTTCTAGAATAAAAGCTCAACAAAAAGTAGTTTAGCACTATTTAGAGAACCAAGTGGAGCTAACTGAGGGCAGCTCCTCTTAAGAGGCTTGATTTTAGGATAATCACAAAAACCTTAGTGAACACAGTTTCCCATTCCCTACTTCTCTCCCCTTACTATACACACAAAGGTGCTTTGAAAATGGTGAAGTATACTTTTCAACCCAAAGAGAAAGAACTGGACTCATTTTGTTTCATTTAAGATGGTCTCACCTGAGCTAAATAAAAGAGTGCCAGTCAGATAAAGAAGAGAATTTCAATAGCAGGCTAAAAATAGAAACATGCATAAATAATTCATCCTTGAAAAATACTTAAGTGAGAACGAACCTGAAAAATGTGTGATGTTCTACACAGACTTTCCATAATTTCTTAGCTGCTCGGTAACTGGGAAGTTTGAATCCAATGGTACTTTCATACTGTTCTTGCTATAAAAACACAAGTAGACAGGAGACATAAAGTATTATCTGACTACAGTGATACAGTACTAGAGAAATATGGTGCCAAAGACGAAGCCATTACCACCAATTTAAAGACATAAAATATCATTTGAAATTTTTTCCTACTCACCAAAAGAAATTTACTCACTGAGGGTAGCTTTTTCTAAAGCAAAGAAGCCAAGGAATGCACCTTGTATTATTTAAGCGTCTTACTTTTATTTATAAAAGACACACAGAGTACATTTTCCTGAGACATAATTAAGGTAACTTTAGATTATCTGCTTTTCTTTAGTCACTATCTGCATTTGGAATACTAATCTACTCAATGATCAGGGAATGTTATATCCACGAATCCTCCTGCCAGTCAATATTATTATGCAACAGTAATTGGTAATAGGAGCCAAGCAAATTTGTTGTTTGTTTGTTTGTTTGCAGTTTTTGGCCGGGGCTGGGTTTGAACCCACCACCTCTGGCATATGCGGCCGGCACCCTACTCCTTTGAGCCACAGGTGCCGCCCAAGCCAACCAAATTTTTAAAAATGAATTTTTTTTTTTTTTTTT